TCTAAAATTTTTACTGATTCCTAGAGGGAAGGCAAATAAAATATGAAACACAACTTTTCCTCCTTTATTAATAAGACAACTTAGTGGATCAGTAGTGAGGAAACTGCAGAAACTGTTAGAACGCTTCAAAGTTAGCAAACACAATTTGAAGATCATAATTTCACTACTGTTGTCTACACAGAAGTAGTATATAGGATAGGATGCCCAATAAATAGAGGGCAGAACTACTCTCATTTAGAAGTCTAAACCATACACATCTATTTCAAATGTGGTGCTGCTCATTAGGAAAGAGAAACAGTCACTTCCAAAGCCTGACTATCTGCTGCATGTTACAGATCTGCATTGAAACAAGCATTCCGGTCTATGCCTAGCAGTTACTTTACTATTTGACAGTCACCATACCACTACACAGTATCTACCTTGTTTGATTCTTTAAAAGAAGCATTTGCAAGATAAGGAACATTTTTGTTGCCTAAATGAATCACCAAAACATCAAAAGAATGGGGTTCCCCTACAGAATACTCAGGCTTACTTCACTGTCTTCTGATTTTTTCTTTTCAGCAAGAGCTCGCTGCCGAGACGAGCGCCTCACAGGAGCTGGGAAGTCTTCATTAACCTTTGATCTATTATGCTGAATAGCCTTTGCCTTCTCTATCAGTCGCTTTGCTTTGGATAGGTTTTTCGAAGTAGAGCTCATCTGTTAACAATGAACAATTGCAATTCATAGCAATGTATTTGGCATTTCACATATTCATATAGTTTTTCACATTCATAAAGATATCATTTTACTCAAATTTTACTGGTATAAAAAGAAAATGAAAGAACTGAGAGGAGGAGCAAACCAGGATCATACAAATACTTTTCAAAAGGGAACAAGAGCCCTACATGTTCTGCCCACAGAACAAAAGAAATATGGGCATAAGTACAAGCTGTTCTGCTGTGCCCAAACACTGTGACCCATCCTGAGAACCTGCAGAGCAGGAGAACGCTACTTTATTGGATTTTTCTGTTACAAAAAAGTAGATTTACACAAATAAAACCCATTTTAAAAATCTAAGGTACATTAACCATACAAGAATGCTTATGTCAAATCCTAGCATAAATCACAGTAACACTCTCTTTCCATAGGGCATCTGAGAACTGTCATATTGCATAACATAAGACTATTGCACAATACCGAATATGAACACAATGACATACATATAATAAATGATATAAAATACTAAACCACAAACTGTTACATAAATTACCTTCATATTTTTGGAGTTAAACTCTTCATTTTTCGTTGCTTCAGCTTTATTTGATTTTGTAGTCGCACTGATACGTGTGAATTTCATTCTAATTAGGGAAAAAAGTATTATGAAAGTATTATGTTTTAGTAAAGGGAAATGCTACTCTCAATTTCATTTTCAAAAGCTTTCAAAAATACAGTGCTGTAAACAGAAGGCTAGGGTTTTTGGGGGTTTTTTTTTGGCTTTGGTTGGTCTTTTTAATGTCTTTAGTGCAACACATTTATAGAGTCAGCTTTGGTTCTCCTGTATTATTCACCTGTATTCATGCACCAGGTATGCCTTCCAGTCAACCTAAAGTTATGTTTTACTCTTAAACTATTTGCAGGAAAACAAAGTACAAAGGTAGAATATACTGCTAAATGTTTACCTGATTGGGCTGCTTCCATCAAAGGGCATGGTAATCACCTCGGCTTTATACAAGTTACTTTTCTTCAAGGATTGCTTTCTTGCCTTTGGAGTTGAGGTTAGTAAAAGACAGCCACTTGATTCCTCTTCAGAAAAGGTATCCTTAATGTGGGGTTTTTTGGGTGTAACATTTTTTGATGTTTTGATTTGCTTCTGCCTTAAACTCCTCCTTAACTCATTCACTTCTGGACTCGATGAAATTCTTACATCTAAGGTGTTTTCCTTAGTGAGAACATTAGCACCTGAATCCTCATCTTTGTAACAGCTGCTAGTATCAGAGACATTAGTTTCCTTAGTTTCTGAAGCCTTCCTTCTTCTGTTTCCTTTTTTCTGATTCTTTCTGGGGCTTTTGGGTTTAGTTCCATTGTTTTTAGGACTAGAATCTTCTGGTACTCTGCTTTCTAATCCTTTATTTGAAGCAATGTCATCTTCAGGTCCTTCTTTTTCTTTTGCAGACTTTCCAATGGCTTGCTTTTGTTTTCCAGGTGCCTTTTTAATGCCACTTTTTACTACATCTGACGTCGGTTGTCTGAACACCTTCATAAACTGATGCCTTTCTTCCAGACTACATTTTGGCTTTAAAGAATCTGACCCCGCAGTCTCTAGTACAGCTAACTCCAGTTCTTCTTCCTCAATAACTACATTAGATCTTCTTTTCTGAGTAACCTGCTCAGTTTGCTCACCATCCAAGAGGGGTGGGCTACTTTCTTTCTCCCCTACACATCCTTTCTGCTTCAAGAAAATGGAAGCTATTTTTCTAGAGCCTTTCTGCTCCTTATGCAATGGAGCTAATCTGGGGGGAATGGAATGAACTTGGGCAAGGACAGTTACTGTTCTAAGTGGCAGCTGTTGAGATTCCTCACACCTTTCTGGGTCACTAACAGCATCACTTTTGTCCACTTCATTTGCTGTAGCAGGATTGTCTGTGGTTGGCTTTGTGTCTTCTTCAGTGTGATCTATGTTATCCTCTCCCTGACTCTTCAAGAAGTCCTCAAATGACACTGTTATTATACTGTTATTTACCGGTGACGTCGTGTCATCAAAACTGGAAGCACTAATAACAACGTCATGCTCTGCTATTGTAGGAGATACCAGCTTTTTCTTATCTTCAGTTCCCTTTTTACACTTTTCATTCGTCTGGTTTTCAGATGGAAAACTTTCAGCCAAATCCATATTTACTTTGTGATTCCTTTTGCTCGATTTTCTTACCCTATTTTTTCTTCCACTTATTTCAGAAGCAGCTTTCTTTGCGTTTTTTCTGTACGTAACAGCATTTGAGAAGTTCTCCATTTGCACATGATCTTCTAGTTCTCTTGCACCTTTTTGGTCAACTAAGGTACACGTAGCTGTAAAATCACCGCTGTCTTGTTTCAGTCCTGTTGTTTCTCTGCTGCCATCACTACTCATTTCTATTCCATGTTTATCCTCAGATCCTTTCATCTCCTTTAGCTTATTATTTAAATTAACTCTCTTCCCTTTCCTCTTCCTCTTTAAAGGTGGTTTAAAAGGTGACTTACACTCTTCATCATCAGCATCAAATGGTGCTGTATTTTCTCCCGCTACAAGTGGCAATGTGGATTTCTCATCTACAGCTGTCTTCTTAAAGTAATCCAATATGTTGTTGGGTTTTGGCGGCGACAGCACTTTATCCACTGGTTTTGCTAAAGGTGAAAAGTATCTCGTGATTGTCTCCACAGAAGTATCTTCCTCGCGCCGTTTCTTGCATGGCTGTGGAAAAGTTCACCATGAATCTTAGTTTTCAAAGAGATAACTCAGTGCGGTGATATAAAGCAGCACAGGACCTATGGTCTGCATTAGTGACACTAGTACTTTCCCAAAGGATAAGCCTCTCATGTCAGTGCGCTAAGACTGTGCGCGCATCAACTCACCCCCATGTTTTCAACAGCCACCTAACCTTGAAACAACGATTCTGCCCTTTCATGAATAAAAACCCTGTTCTGGAACTCTGAGGCCACCAAAACTGGAAGCGACCACAAGGTCTCCAGACCTGCACATATCTCACAGTACCGGAGTTCAGAAACTGGCAATTCAGGTGATCGACCTGGTGGTTACCTTGAGATGTTCACCAGAGCATGTCACAGAGGATTCCAACATCCCTTAAAGACGTACGGTCCCACTGTAAGCCTCTGGTGTACCTTAAGGAGAAACTCCACCTTCTGAAACACTTAAAGGGAATGAATACAGAAGAATTCGTATCTCTTATCATAATTTAGAGTGTGGCACTGGCACAGGGTGCCCAGAGAAGCTGTGGCTGCCCCATCCCTGGCAGTGCTCAAGGCCAGGTTGGACACAGGGGCTTGGAGCGAGCTGCTCTAGTGGAAGGTGTCCCTGCCCGTGGCAGGGGTTGGAACCCTAAGGTCCCTTCCTACCCAAACCGCTCTGTGACCCTGTGATGTGCCCGACTCCACCAAAGATGACTCACAAAGGCCTCTTTAACTCTCCTACTTCATTAAACCCCGATGTCTCCTGAGATCCCATCACTTCATCCGCTACCACCGCTCACAGAGCTGCCGGTGCCCGCCTGCGGAGCCCCCCAGAGACAGCTCCTGACAGCCCGGCCCGCGCTGACGGTGCCGGGGCAGGGGAGCGCCCTCCCCCCGTTACAGCCGCGCACCACAAAGGGGCTCCCCCCGCCCCCCATCCCCGTCCCGCCTTCCCCTCCGCGTCCCCCCGCACCTGAGCGTCGCCGTCTCTGCCGGGGAGGGGGGCGGCCGCCGCGGGCACGGCGACCCTGCCCACCATGCCCCGTGCGCGCGGGAGCGGGGCCTCAGCCGCGGCGGGGGGGGGCGGCGCTGGCGCTGGCCATGGGGGCGGGGGCCGCCTGTCAGGAGCGGGCCCGGGCGGGCAGAAAAGCGCGCGCGGGACGGGATTCGGAGCTCCGCGGCGCACCACGTGACCCGCCCGCCTCGCCCAACGGCCGCTCGAGAGCCCGCGTCACGTGAGGGAGGCGAGCGGGTCCCCGCCCCGCCCCTTTTCCCTTCTCCCCGCCCACCCCGGGGGAATGGGGGGCAGGTCACGTGCCCGCAGAGCCACGCCCACACCTCCGCCTCGCTGTCAGTCCGGTTTTCGCGCCGCGGCGCGGAGAGGGGCGGGGCTGGTGACGTCAGGCGGGTTGGGCACGGGGCGCGAAGAGGGACAGTATTGGCCGCGGCGCGCTGTGTCCGCCCGGCGCCCTGTGGCAGCGCGCGCCTCGCTGTGCGCCATGTCACCCGCGCCCCCTCGCAGGCCGGTGCTGCCGCCGCCGCCCGCCCCGCCGGCTCCCCGCTGCGCTCGCAGCTCCGCCCCGCGGAGCACGGCGCCCGGATGTGCGGCCCTTCCGGCGGCGAGGCCCGCCCGCCGCCCCGCCCCGCCCCGCGGGGTGCCTCACCGCCGTGGCTGCCCATGGAGGCCGACGCGGAGGCCGAGGTGCGGTTCCTCTTGCAAGAGGCGCGGGAGAGCATCGAGGCGGCGCGGAGCTACCGGCGGGAGCTGGAGCAGCGGCTGCGGGGGCTGCACCAGGCGCGGAAGCAGGTGGAGAGGCGGGACGGGACGGGACGGGGCTGCCCGGGCGAGCGGTGGCCCCGGGGCTCTCCGGCAGTGCTCACCGCGGGGCGGCCGCGGTCAGTGAGCCTGCCCCGGGCAGCGGCGGGGCCGCTTCTCTCCCGGCGGGTTTATCCGTGTCTGCAGGGTGCCGGAGCTCGGCTCGGGCGTGCAGGGAAGGAGGAGGGCGGGGGCTGGGGCGGGCGGTGCTGCCTTGGCCGCCGCTTGTCGCCTCGGTGGGTGCTGGTGGCGGAGGGGGGGACACGGGGATGGGCAGATACAGAAAGTGTCGGGAAGAAGCGGTGCGTGTGTTTGCTGACCGGAGCCTGGCTTAATGGGGTCATGGGGAGGCGTTTAGGCAAGAATAAAGGTGCTTTAAATGAACTGTTTTCTAAGGCAGCTGGGATGCTCGCCTGTACTGTAAAGGGAGCACCATGCCTGTCTTCTCACATCTGAAGGACACCCGTCTAGGCAAGTTGCTCTAATCGGTCACTATCGTGAGCTCTGCTGTGCCCATGCACCAAGCCCCATGGCTCACGTACTCTGTGGGTCACGTCTCAGTGTTGCCAGCATTCCAGGTTAGCTGGTTTTTCTGCAGCTGTGCACTGGAACCACAGGAGGGTTCTCATTGGGACTGGTAACCCACCCACCCACCCCATGCTGGAGATGTGTGGTGAGATAGGCTAATGTGGGCAGGGAGATTGCAGGGAGCCAGTGGAAGGCTGGCTTCTCTGCTGAGACATCCTCCAGGGGTTGTAGTTTCTGTAGACTAGAGCCAATGCCTGACTATCTTCAGTTTCAGTTCTGCAAGGGGTAAATAAACCCCAAACCTAACTCAGAAGATGTATTTGTGGTGACCTGATAACTTTTCTGAAGCAGATTTCTTTAGCATAGAGATCTGCTATAAATCTGCCAGGGTAGTGTCCTGCTGCCGAGTGAATGTGTGCGATCGCTACACATCAAATTAGTCATCTTGCAAACCACAAGCTACTTAAGAAAATGATTTGGTCATGACTGTCTTTAATCCAAACCTTGTCGTCTCGGAGTGTTTCCTGATAATCAAAATGCACTGGGAGGGAGCCAGTTTGCCTCTCTGCAGTGGCTGGGAGTGGTTATTTAGCTTAGCTTGCTTTCCTTTTAATCCTTGGTGGAATTGCTTTGCTCGTGTGCATGTTTCTGTTTTCCCTCTTCCCATCCTCATGACCACGTGCTATTTTGTCTGCGAAGAATCAGCCAGGCAACACGTCCAAGAATTGCCGGTGTGCAGAAGTGCTGGATGTCCTTGACTGGGGTTCAGATAGCGGAAGCTTTATTATTTGGGGGCTGGTGGGCTGATGTAATAGGGAAGGCGGCAAACTTCACACTGCTCTGTGTGCTCAGGGACTTGCATTTCCTCTTCTGCATAGCCAGTGCTATGTGTAAGCCTGCGGCTGGCTTGTTGAGCTTGTGTGTGCATGCAGTGGAGGTAGTGGGCTCAGAGAAGTGCCTGTTCTCTCTCCTTCCACCCCACCCCTTCATGGAGCTAAATACTTCCTTTTTCTCCTAAGCACTGAAATAACAAGAGAAGGGAAACCGAGCTGTGTGGCAGCTGCGGAGCTTCATGACTATTACTTGAAGAGGAAATTTGTTTTACCTAACCAGAGAGCTTCCTGTGTCGGTTGTCTGTACTTCTAAAGATCTAGAAATTACGTGTAAGGCCATGCGCATGTTGCAGCGTTTCCTTGTGTCTGTGGCTTAGAAGAGTTGTTCACTGGGAGATGTTTACTTCTGGCTGTTGCATCTTTAGCTCAGGGGTGTTCGTATGCGTTTTCTTCCCTGAAAGTCAGATTCAGCAAGTTTGCAACCATTTTAATAGGCACTTGTAGAAACTTTGTGGTCTGGCTCTTCCCGAATCAAACCACCCTTGCTGTGCACCCTGCCCTGTGACCCTGGAGCACAGACAAATCCAAGGTGGCTATTTGGAAAAGAAAATGTAAAGCAAGCAGTTTACAAGGATTTAAAAAGTGCAGTAAAGTGACAGGACCTGGGAAAGTGCTTCTAGGTCTTCTAAAAGCCTGGTGTCTTCTTTCCAATGAGGATTACCTGCGTATGATGGCAGAGTGGGGTTTGAACAGGATTGCAGCAGTTTTGGAGGGTGGGAGGGTGAAGACCTACTTTGGACTTTTCTGACAAGAAGAATTCCTTGATTGAAGTACACAGTTTGTGTTTGGCTTAGTTAGTATGCTCTTCCCCTTGTCCAGGCTAGTACATGTACCAAAAATGACTACACTGGTTTAACTGCCAATGGTCCTTTTTTAAGGCTGACTTCACACACAGCCTTTCTCCAGCAGACGCAGATGAGGTTGTTTAGAAAAACAGAAGATGTGCGTGGCCTTTGCCTCTATCCTGAATCCTTCTTTCCTGTTAACCTGAATTTAGATCAGAGAAAGTGCAACATTGACCAGAGATGTACTTGAGCAACATTTTAATGATTTGAAAGGGACCCTGAAGAAGCTGTTGGACGAGCGCCTGATGTCACTGCTGCAGGAAGTGGATGCTATAGAACAAGAGAGCATCAAACCCTTGGATGAATGCCAGAAGTTAATAGAGCATGGGGTTAGTACGGCTGATGATCTGCTCCGGGAAGGTAAGGCAGCACCTAAGCAGTTACCTTCCCTGCTAAGTGTGGTTACGTTCACTGTTGATGAGAAACATGAAAGATGAAATGGCCACTGTACGGGGGGAAAAAAGTCTCCAGAAAGTCTGAGGATGAGGCAGACAGTAATGGACATGTGGAATATTACCATAAAGGCCAGTTTGTGCCTTGCTGATGCTAAATACCTAGCCAGAAAAGAATGTCACTCTTGCCTGTTTTCCCCACACTGGAGAACCTACTGGGAGCATGTCTGAGCCATGAGTATGTTGGCAGTTTCCTTGCATTGTTCTCATGTCTCAACTTTAACTTTCTTTCAACATGATTTCAGTTTTGTGAACTAAAGGGCACTGAGCAGTCTCACATGAGGAGGAAATGTACCAGCTTCCACTCAGACATGGGCTCTGTGCTGGAAGAGCAGGCTGTGGGAGCGCTGTGCTCCTGTCCACTGCAGTAGTGGCAGCATTTAAGAACTAATCTGGTTGTTTTCCTAGCACCACAACCTCTGGGACAGCTGAGAGTCACCTTGTTCTTGTTTTAAATGTCACGTTACTGAATCACAGGGTGTTTGCCTGTGTTTTGTACGAGTTTCTATCAGATCTCAGGAGAGCCTGACTAGCTGTGCACTTTTATCTCGTGGGTTCCCTCTGTAGCAGTAGTGTTGCTAAGTCATCAAACCAAGCAGGCATTGCGTCTGAGTCAGAGAGGAGTTAAACCTCCATGGTTATTAAGCCTCCTGCTGCCAATTATGATGTGTGCTTTTCTTCAGAGATCTGTAGCATTTGTAATCCTCCATTTGGAAAAGGACTGAGCTTGCTTGTGTTGTAAATTACCCTCAAGTCATCAGATAGGAGAAGGGACCATAAATCTCTGTAAGCTGAAGTGTGGGATGCTACTTTATATGGAAAGCCTATGAAAACATTTATATTTATCTCTACACTTTAATGCATGGATGATGTCCTTTGTTCTGATAATAGTCACATTTAAATTGTAGCAAACAGAAGAATGCTTGAAGTGATTTTTTGCTTTTAAGCTCCTGCTATTTTATTTTCTGATGGGTGAAGGTGCTTTGCTTTTTTCTTCCCTTAAAGCAGCTGGAGGAGGGGATTAATAATCCTCATTTTTGGCATCTGAGCCCGGTTCTGCTACCGTGTGAGACCTGAGGCAAATTGTTACATCTGTTATGGGTGTGTCTACAGGAAGCTTTGAGAGCTTCAAAAGATGTTGGATAGGCTTTATATTGTTAACTATAATTGTGTTTTCTAGCTTAGAGTCTAGCAGAAGTGCTGAGAATGCTTCATGTGTAATTGGTCGGTCGTGTCAGAACTGGTTACTCTTTGAAGCAAAAAATGCCTGTCTTGGACGTTGTCTCATTAGGAATATTTTTATTCCAGGAGAGAGTGCGGTCCATGGAGACGTGGGACAGCAGAATGAGAAACTTTGCATCTTTACAAAAAAAGCTTTACATATTCAGCTAGATAGGTAAGATACTGACACACCGAGGTGATCCGAGGCAGTGGCACATGTGCCCTTCTTGTGCAGGGGATCTTTTCTCCTTTGAAACAAAAGCCTTCTGCTCTGTTGCCTTAAAAGACTCATTTGAGGTGTTACTGTCCTGTTTGTTTCATAGACTTTGATGGGCCTGGCAATCACAGAATGGAGTAGTATTCAACCTCCATATGTTCTGTAGAAATATAGGCTGTTTATTTGTGAACGATGAAACCGCTCCTTGTGGAACAGCCTGTATTTCAGAGTATTTACTGAGAAACAGTCTGGTTAGGGCTGAAACACAATGTTTTCTGAGTCTTTTCAGTTTGAAATGCACATGCCAATTTCTGCAGCTGTTCTCTCCCTGCAAATCTGCACAAACTCGAGTGTATGGATGAAATATGAATTTGTAGCAGCAGGCCCCTTCCATTACAACAAACTTTCCTTTCTCAGCTTACCAGAAGTGCCCCCCTTGGTTGACGTGCCTTGTTTATCTGCCCAGTTGGATGACTGCCTTCTTACTATATTGAAAAATCAAATATTCAGACATGGAACTGTGGCATCTCGCCCGCCTGTACAGCTGGAGGAATTTGTTGAGAAGCCTGGAGGTATTTTAGTCCGATGGTGTAAGGTGAGTAAAATATCCTCAGTGAAAATCATTCGGAATTCAGTTATGTTGAAAGATGCTGAAAAAGCCACTTTGATTCTGTATTCTCTGCTGCCTTTGAAAGAATAATCAACTCCAGTGTGTAGTTAGAAACTTTAGAAGAGATTTTTGTGGTGGTGGCCTCATTTAAAGGCAAGATTATCTAGTGATGTTGTGGTTGGCACTGGGGTTTGTGCCTGCTTGGCAGGGACACTTGTGTGCGAGACTCTTGCTGTTGGGCTCTACCTGCTCCTATCTGTGGGCAGAAAGGGCTGACACACCAGTGCACCTCTCCCTCGCAGTCTGCTTCCCTGAGTGTGGAAAGTCAGGAAGGACAGCTGAAGGCACTGCTACCCCATGCTTAAGCAAGTGCCAGGTGTTGAACAAGCAGGAAACAACTCCTTCATATACCCTTCCCACTAAAGAAACACCAGGGTGTGATCTATCTGTGATCATGATGTACAAACAAGGCCAAGAAATCCTGGTGTGTGTGTTTCTGACAGGTGATTCACAAGTAGCCGTTTGTGCTGTGGAAGCAAGCGCTTTGTCTGTGTGGCAATAACAGACTGAACTTCTTTTGCTGGGGTGATGCTTTTGTTCCCTTTGAAGACTCTTTAGCAGACTCAGGATGAGGATGATGCTGGGCCTGTTCTGTTATGTTTTTACCCCTACGCATGTTTGTGTTTTTAGGGTGGTTCAGTAGATAGAAAATATTTTAATACAGGCATTAGCCAGTCAAGTAGCTTTTCTTTTCAACACCCGAAAATTATTTTTGGGTAAATGACTGCTGTGCTCTGTTGTGGTTTAGTTGTTGTTGGACAGCTCTGCGCTCCTTGGCAGCATTGTACAAGCTTGTTCTAGCAACAGCCAGCAGTTGGTCAGCCACCCTTACCTTGTGAAGGACGTGGACTGAGACTGTAAAGCCGTGTCACATGTGGTCTGATTTGCTGTGCTATAGAGGAGTTTGCTGAAGTTGGCCATCTCCATCGGAGAGTAGAGCCGTGGAGGGTTGGTTTTTGGGGGGAGGATATGGCGATGATAATCTCTTTGGACTTAAAGATGTCAAAGAATTGGAAATGATTTCTTGGAACAGTTTATGAAGGATAATAGTGGGTTTCCCTTGCTGTCAAAAACTGGCACTGAATGTCTTCTGCAAATTTGCCTTCAGCTTTTGGCTGAAGGATCTTGTTATATCGCTGCTAGATTGAAAAGCCTTCTGTTAAATGCTACTTCTCTACATACTTTTAAACTGTAATTGAATAATTCTTACAGTTGTCTTTGTATTAGTTAGTTGAGACTGATCCTATTTTCTGTAAGACATGCTTTCTGCTCCTTAATACCTTGTGACCCTGAGTCGCCTTTGATGGCTTCCTGCAGCACTAGCTGTATATGTGCCACTTCAGGGGCAAAAGGAGAGAAAAGAGGGGGTCCTTTATTAATGCAATAAATGTTTCTGTAGGTGGATGAGGACTTCATACCGCAAGATTACCGACTGCAGTATCGGAAGGGTACTGCCACTCACTTTGAAGATGTGTATATTGGCTCGGAGACAGAGTTTGTGGTGCTGCACATTGACCCCAATGTTGATTACCAGTTCAGGGTCTGTGCCCGAAGAGATGGGCGGCAGGAGTGGAGCCCGTGGAGTATTCCTCAGATCGGCTCTACCACGCTAGTGCCCCATGGTACTATTTCCTTGATGTCCATCTTGGTCTAAAGCCTGTGTCATCAGTGCAGCACTCCTAAAGCTCTGTAGTTGCATGACTTAAGGAGCTGCTTTTTGTATGGTGGTGGGGTGTCCTTAGCTATTGTGTGTGTGTGTATAAGGTATGATGAACTATCCTTTTATCCTACCATTTAGCCTTTGCTTCCTAGTGTGAGGGATAGGTAGTGAGCCTTTGCAGCAGGTAGCTCATTGCTTAGCCTTGGAAAGCATCAGTGAGCCAGAAGCAAAGCATTTTCTTTTCTTTCTCTCTCACCCCTACCTAAGCATGTTTTGATGGCTGCAGTCTCACAACAAGCTTTTGTCTTGGAGAGATAAAACCCCACATTTTGTCTTCACGCGGATTCGGGCAGTGGGTAATGAAGGTTTTCCTTTGCCTACTATATGGCTTCAGGGAGCACAGCAAAGAGTGAACTTCTGCTGAACTCTGTGAGCTGGGAAATACTTTTTGTAATTGCAAATCATTTGAAAAGAAATCTCTCCATGAGAGGCACCAAATCAGCCCCTGTGCTTACCATAGCTTAAGCTTTGTATGAAGTGATTGAGTGGCCATTGCGACTGACTTGATTCTGCACAGACAGTAGGGAGTTGAGGTTCATGTTTCTCATGCCTTTATTCTTTTCCCTGTTTTCTCCTTTGAAGAATGGACAACTGGTTTGGAGGGATACAGCCTGAGCAGTCGGAGAAACATTGCACTGCGAAATGATGCCGAGTCATGTGGTGTGCTCTACTCCAAAGCTCCTACTTATTTCTGTGGGCAAACATTAACATTCAGGCAAGTACTTTCTGGGGAGCTGTTGTCTGGTGCGTCTCCTGTGAGCTGTTACATCTGAAGTGTATGTAAACCTGAGTCATGGTGTGTGTGTGAGTTTATATCAGCTCAGCCCCAGCCAAGGTAGTGTGTCTGTGTGAAGTCTGAACTTCCCTCTCTTTATACTTCCTGTCTCTTTAGGAAAACACCTGATGTTTTTGTAGGACCTACATCTATCTAAAACAGCAAGAAGTGAACTCCAGAGGGATGCTAAAATATAGCCCATGCTGAGCAAATCTGTGGAATGTTGAGCTTCCCTGAGTTTTGAAGCAGCTGTTGCTGGCTGGTCAGATGTCAGTGGAGGTTTGCCACTGGTTCTTTTTAACCTTGTGTCAGTGGGTACTTTCCTTCCCAGACTGTCCACAAGCTCTGAAGGCTTTGAATTTAAAAACATTTTATGTGCAGTTGGGACAGATAAGGATGACAGTCTGGCACTGATGTCCTTAAAATCTGAGGTAAATAGTGCTGATCAAACTACTGCTTGAAACTGGCATTAGAATATCCTGAGTGGAGAAGGGATCTGGTGAAGTTCAGTTTGACACAGAACGTGATTTAAAAACCTCAGCAGCTTTGCTGCCTGAGATGCTGCTGTTTAATGGGGTACGAGGAATGTCCTTGTGGCTATGTTAGTTGTAATTACAGACCTCAGAGCCTCTGAAGCTCTATCCCATCTTTCTCTGGTTAAATAAAACTACTTGCTGTACAGTAGGCAACCCTCAAAGGCAATTTAAGGGGGCTGTTAATGGTATTTTTGTAACTTATTCCATGGTGGTTTATTTTTCCTTTCCTGGTAATGAATTGTCTTGGGATGGTTGTAGTATGAGGGTGTATTTGGTTGCCTGTCTGAGATGGGATAAAAGGATCTAAAGTTTCTATTTGAAATCTGTTGCTGGATTTGACATTTCTTGGCTCAGAAATGCCCGTGAAATTAAAGGCAGAGCTTTGAGGTTTCCCTTGGTTCTGTTTCAGACCAATGCCTTTTATCTTTTTTTATTGGTAGCACATGTAAATCTTTTGCCGTATATTTGGGTAATGTGGACTCCTCTCGAAGAGGGGATTGTTTCAGGATGGCAGAGCAGTGAGAAGCACATGTCCACAAGAACTATAATGACACAATCTTGAGACTGAAGATGACCTCAAGTATTGGTTGTGTTCCTCATCCAAGAGTAGCTTCTTGTTTGCAAGTGTGAGGTTTTGCACTACAGGGAGGTGTAGTACTTGGTGTTTGGCTTTCTCCATCTGTTGAAGCAAAAAGTGTATTCACAGGGGGGTAAGTGGCTTTTCAGAGCAAACCAAGCAAGCAAGGTTCATGTTACAGATGATGTTTGTAAAGCAGCTTTGTCTTCTTGTGTGTTCAGGACGTGGGCAGCTCATCAGTGAAAAGTGAAGCTGTGCTGAACACAATGCTTTGTATCCGCTTCTTCAAGATAGACTGCTTCAGTTGTCCTCTGAGGGTGGGGCATTTGGACAAGTTGTAGGAAAACATCATTGCTTTAAGTCAAGGCTCATCCTGTTTCTTTGCAGCCTTCAGGGAGCTGCCCTTAGGAAAGGGAATGAATCTCCACAGTGACCTGCTCTGCAGCTCTCTCTGAAGCTTTTGCTTGTAGCGCGGAGCCACGCTTATTCTGGCCAGGCTGGTGACTGGGATCATCCAGCAGCAGCCCTTGTGAAGATCACACTGACCCGACCCAGCTCTACTGAGAGCTAATGCAAAGAAAGTGTGTGTGTGTGTGTGTGTGTGTGTGTGTGTGTGTGTGATCACCCCCAGGTTTACTTCTCTGTGCCCTGAGACAAATGGAAACTGGTGGTGGCTGAACTGGTTCGGGGTCTGTGTGCTGCAGTGGCAGAGGCAAGGTTTTGCTTCGCAGCATGGGAAGCGGTGAGAAGGGATTTGAACAGTGTAATGTTCTCCTGAGCATTGTTCTACCACACAGTGTGGATACAGATTGATGTGATAGAATTCCTACTTTTTAATGGGTTTATAGTTATGCTTTTCAGGTCATTCTTGTGACTGTACAAACACTTATTTCCACCCCAAAACTCAAGAAAGGCTCCTTTAACTAGGGATGGAGTGAATTAGTGTTCACGTTAGGCACAAAGTTGACAGCTCAGTAGCTGATTACGAAGCCTCCCCAACAACTCAGGCAGAGTTTAAAATCTAGAGTAAAGTACCAAAATGAATTTGAAATCTCCCTTAAAGTTGTTTTGGGCAAATGCTGTGGATCACTTTCAAAGTGAAAGCTTCTTGGATTTTCATTTTTCCCCACTGCTTTTTAGTACAAGGCTTTTGCTATCCCAGTGATGTTCCCAGGGGACTGAAGAACCTAATGGAGTGCAAAAGTAAAACATGGTTCCAATTTTATCTTCCCTGTTTGCCTTGAAAGAGTTAACCCATTGTGTCCCAGCCTGCTGCCCAGTTTAATTTCCAGCTCTGAAAAGCTTCTGCTGAAGTTTTCCTTCATAACCACGATCGGTGCTGTTCTCTCCAGCTGTAATGACATAACCAGTTTTACTTTCTAGAAAGGACCATCTGAGTTTCCCGAGTCACTCATCTCTCTGCTATGATTTAGCACCTTAGGGAGACAGCAGTACAAGAGAAATGACTCAAACACGGAAGAGCCCTTTAGTGTACAAAGTGCAGCCCCATTCTGCTGCTAAGGCCCAAAGGGAGCTGCATCCCAGGGCACTTGCACAGCCTGTGTTCAGAAATTCTTTCCCAGGACCAAAATCCAAAGTGCAGCTGAGCAGAAGCCAGGCTTGTAAATGCTCTTCTCGACACTGGCTGTAGTACACAGTTCATAGAATCATAGGATCACAGAATAGTTAGGGTTGGAAAGGACCTTAAGATCATCTAGTTCCAACCCCCTGCCATGGCCAGGGACACCTCACACTAAACCATGTCATACATGTACACAGTTGCCTCAAGCTGATTTAGTAAACCCAACCAACAACAAAAACTTCCCAAACTCAGTAACCCACCACCACCAGAACACATCAACCTTCCACCTTACCCCTTTGCAGCGGGGCTGAAACACCCCTGTTTCAGTCACACTATTAAATACTTGCTGGAACAACAGCTGGCTTACCCTTATATGTGGTGCTGCCCAGCAGTCTGGTGTAGATGATGGTAGATTGCAGTTTTGTGCTTAGCGGTTGTTTTAAGACAACTGGAAGTTGTTCCAGATGACTCTAAGCTGCAACAGTGGAGAATTTTATTAAACAGCAATGAAGGTTTGCAGGAAGCAGATTGATGTTTTGTTCAGGTTAATAGTGAAGAGTGTTGCTCAGTGGAGCTGTTGGGAAAGCTGGTAGGACCAGTTCAATTGGTAGGACTTCAATAGGGATCTCCCCAGGAGGGTGGGTGAACCTGCTGAAAGCCCAGGAGCATGCACAGAGGTCTGGTGCGGCAGGGTCTGACTGGGTTTCATTGTATGTTTTGATTCAAAGTTTGACTTGACTTTTTGCTTGGTAGAATTGAAACCGTGGGACAGCCAGACAGACGAGACAGCCTGGGAGTGTGTGTGGAGCAGCAGAACGGCTGCGATTCCCTGCAGCGGGATAAAGCCGTGTGCATTAGCACAAACGGTGAGTGAATTGTGTAATGAAGAATGTGGTACTTCGTATTTCCCCAAACCTGTGGCCCCTGCTTACTTGCATCCCTGGATCACATACAAGCAACTTCATCCAGCTTTTACATACATATTGCTTGTGCAGTTAAAGTCTTTGGTGAGATTACTGAAGCCTGTTTGATGTCACAAAGAGGAACAGGGCAGGGTTATTTTCCTTTCCTACTTGCCTGCAAAAAGCAGGGAGACACAGTATTACATGTTAGCACATACACAAAGGGAGCAGTGATGTTTGCTATCTGGACTGTTTCAGGGGCAGTGTTTGTAAATGGGAAAGAGATGACAAACCAGCTGCCTGCTGTTACTTCTGGATCGACAGTGACGTTTGACATGGAAGTGGTGCACTTGGGGACTTCCAGCAACGAGGGAGGAAACTTCAAGCTCCGAGTAACCATTAGCTCCAACAACAGAGAAGTGGTCTTTGACTGGGTACTTGATCAGTGCTGTGGCTCTTTGTACTTTGGATGTTCGTTTTCATACCCAGGCTGGAAAGTTTTGGTGTTCTAGCAGCGAGTAAAGGGATTTTTGTTCTTGCTGTAATGTGTAATGTTAAAACCTGGGTTTCCAGTTGTTTGGCGTCAACAAGCTGTTAACAAAACCCTGTCCTTGTACTACTTGAACTCCACTATATTGTACTTCCTACTGGATTGATTCATTTAAACAAGTAATTGTGAAACATTGGATTTGTTACTCTGGAAAAAAAGTTAGAAACAGGCATTTGCATAGGCAGATTAATTTAAGCAGTCCACCAGCCCTTTCCCTTTTCTCCTCCAGACTTGATTTTTGTCAGTATTTCATTGTACTCTAGTCTCAGGGTACGTGTGTTGTGTAGAATTAACTCTGCTTAATGCTGCTGTTCTGTGAAGTAAGCCTGTAACCATTTAGGGGGTGAAGGGGTGGTAATGGACCAAAGTTTTATTTATACCACTCAAAACAAGCACAGTATTTAGAGCAGCGATGTCCTGCTATGCTTCCTTGTGCACAATGCTGCCTTAATTGTATGAAGGGACAGTGGGTTCTGCATGCAACAGCCCTTTCTTCCACGCACGGTACTGTTCATTCCTCCAGAGCAAGGACTTCTGAGCCATAATGTGTGTTTAAATATGTAGCCAGTCTGTTAATGTCTCACTTAAGTGCCTTATTCCCAGATATTTCTTGAACTGTTGTTCACTTGGAATATATTTTTCTAGAGTAGTTCATGGTGATGCTAACATCAGCTTGATGTGGATGCTCGCTTCAGACTAGACCAGTACCTAGTGTAGGAACGTTATCCTTATCTGCTCTCAATGTCTTCTCTAGTTGAAGCTACCATCAGAGCAAGTCTTAGCAATTCAGCACTGAGGCATGATGTGCAGATTGGCAGCTGTGATTCCTCACAGAGTCCCTCTAAGACTTGGAGCCAGCCTTCTTTCTATTGTCCAACAACAGACACCGTGGAAGTGCTGTTCTGATGTGCAGGATTCCTAGAAATCCCAGACAGCTGCCTGGGAATAACTCATGTTTGGGTGCAATAGTGCAGGTTGATGATCTGAGCTGCCCCAGCAAGTTGGAGTTCCTGCTGGAGATCCACCTTGGGAGATAATGGAGATGGGTGCTGAGTATGGGCTTCAGCCAGACCCTGCTGTCACAGATCTAACTTGTGGCAGTCAGAATGGAACAGAGGATGGTAATTTACTCTCTCCTCCATGTAATAGGATGGAATAAGAAACTATGATTGATGAATTGACTTTGAATTCAGACGTTACATGAAGTTACTACTATTTCCCCTAAGGAGCAACTAAGATTCAGAATGAGTCTAGCAAAGAGAGCCTATTCCTTGTCAACAGATTGCAGTACTACTGCATTTAAATCCTGTTTCCAAGTAACACTCACTGGGGGTCATCTTACCTCAAGTTCAATTAAAATTAAATATATTTTAGTAGGTTAGAATAGTGATATTTTTATGCAACCTGGACAATCACTCTGGCCTTTCAGTGTCACCACACTTCATTAGCTTTCTACACTAGCATAAAAAGCCTGAATTTACATTGGATGAGCGTGCCCCATACTCATGTTCTCAGTACAAAAAGATCACTCATCCTGCTGCATTTTTTCCCCAGGGGTACAAGAACTTGAGAATAGGGGTTAGTATTTATACCAGTTACAGGAAAGCAAATCATGAGTAGAGATCCAGACAGATGCAAAGAGCTCACACAGGACAGAATGAGGTTAGAATTTCCTTTAAGACACAAAGTGAGGAAGACTGGGCACCTGCAGGTAAGATTATCCAGTGTTAGCAACAAAAAGCCTGCAGTACTATCAGTTCTTCAAGCTTAACTATTTCACTATTGGGAAGTACAATACCAGCTGAGCCTGTACTTTCAGGGGGAAGAGTTACCCTGCGAGGACTATTTTCAACTACTTTTAAAATACAGTTCTTTTCCTGTAGCCAGGATCAAACAGTACCAGTCCTGTTCAGAGAGGGTCAGGGTGGCACTCCAGCTTGCAGCCGACCTAAATCTTGCTCCACTTATTAAGGCTGGTAATTTTACTTCCTGCTGGTAATGTTACTTATTTCAGGTGTCAGGTACTAGTTGTAACTTAGTACTTTTACCATATGAAAGCTAAAATAGTGAATATCTACACTTGGGAGGTACCAGCAGGTCAGGTACCTTTTTGTCTGTGTTTGGAGGAGCATCAGACTTGATTCTGCAGGATATTTACTTGCATATTAGAAAATAAAGCTTAAGCCTTGAATTCAGGTACTTCCAGAGGTGGTAACACTGTGACAGTTCATTCAGAATATATACATGAAGCAGCCCGAGGTGACTGTGAAGGGCTGGAAGAGGCCCCTGCTGCTCCCCTGGGGAGCAGAGGATGGCAATAGAAATAGTTTCTCTGACTTCAGTCTTTAGCTGTTGTGTGTTCACCAAGGGCAGCTGCCAATAGGAGCTGGTTTGGGGTTTCTCTTGGGGTTGTTGTTGTTTAACATAGCACAAGCCTAACTGTCCAAACTGCAGATCAGGTACTGCTCAGCCACCCCTTAGTGCTGCACCTTTTAAACCTGTGAGGGGTAGAGAGTCTCAGGGCAAGAGACCTGAGTAATAAAGTACAAAGTACATAAAGAAGCGAAAGAGGCTTGAATGAGAAGGGGTGAGATTCTGTTCTTCCACAGCAGAGTTCAGCTAGACGGAAAACTTGCCCCTTCCTTTACTTTTCCCCCCTCTAGCCCTTGGAGCCCTGCAAGGAGCAGAATGCTGTGTGTAAAATGCAGTCCTGAAAGGTGTTCTCTTAAGCTGGTGCATTCACTTACCTCAACCAAGGATTCTGCGTCAAGTGAAAGTTGAGTTTTTTTAAATAAAGTTTTATCCCTCAGTGGTGTGGGGTCTGGCTCATTATTTATGGGGTATAAACCTGAGCGTTGCTGCATTCTAATAGTTTAGGCACATGGATTCTGTAGCACTGCAGGCAGCATTAAAGAGAATTTCTCACTTTGTTCCAGGTTTTTCACTGTGTATTTCCCTTTCAGCTGCAGTTCAGCTCTTGACTGGCAGTTTTTGCAGCACTAACTTCCATCGTAGCTCATTTTTCTCTTATTTTACACTGTTCTATTACTTATATGCTGTTTTATATACATATATATACACACACACACACTTATTACCGTTCCATTAATTAATACTGTTGTATTAAATGGTGCAACTCTCATACAATAGCAGGTTTTGGCCACTGGTACTGAGCAAGCAGCAGAGCTATTCAATCCCCTTTAGATAAAAATCAGTGTTGAACTAAGGCACAGTTCTGCTTTACCCACAGCCTCTGCCACTTTGGTCTCTCCTAAAAGAAAAATAACTTGTGAAACCAGTAAGGTTTCTCTCATAAAGACACTATTCATATAAAGACTTTTCTTCAATAAGGTGCTTTCTCCTGCAGAGTGCACCTTCAGCTCAAACCCAGCAACCTGGGAGCAGTACTTACCAACTTCATCCGGAGCGCGTGTGTCCTCAGCTGTCAGTCACACAGCATCAGATTTATAAGCAGCAGGACACCTTTGCTCAAGCACTGGTCAACGATGGCACCAAACTGCTCTGTAAATTGAGAAATACTTCACTATGAACAACATTCCATGCTCAGAGGTAGAATTAAACTGCTGGTTTGGGGTAGTGGGGGTTGGTGGTTAGTGGAGTACTCACAACAGTTCAAGCTATCAGCAGCTGCCAGGCCATGGATCTTTACCCCACCCTCCACTTAACTCAAGGACTACACTGAGGACACATTCACAGCAACATACACTTAAGGTTAACAAATCCATCTAACAGTTTTGAATATCATATTTAATGCACTGAATTAAATATTCAAGTCAGATGTTAAGTTCCAGCCCGGGGTTCACAGACCTGTTGTGTGAAGATGATCACCAAACACAGAACATCATTAAAATCTGCCATGACCATATTAAAGGCAGGATTAGAAGAACCTTGCCAATTTCACAGACAAAAGCATACCTGAGAAGTGTGGCCTGAAGTCAAGTTCACAGACTGTCATAGCCTGTATTCCAGTACCTGAATTATTTCTTACATGGAAAAAGGTTTTCAGTGGTTGCTGTTGAACAGTCACCATTTGGCAACAGAGTGCAATTCCTGACTCATTTTGTTCTGTTTGTGTCCATCCTGTACCACCCCAGAGAAGCACCATTTTAAACTGATACCAATTTAAACTTAACCCAGTATCTTGTACATTGTTTGAAGCATTACCCACTTGCATGTAAAACACACAAGTCTTGACACATCACAAGTGACGTTTCATTGTCAGTTACGTGAATTACAGCTCTCAACAGCTTGCAGGTAGAGCTCAGGTATTCAGCTCTGCCCCCAAGGCAGGAGAATGAAAGGTTTGATAATCTCACTGAAAACCTGGCAATTTATGGAGACACCTTAAATATAACAAAAAGACTGGACAGAACGTTAAGATTGTAACATCTGGCAAAGGAAGAACCGGTTTCACATTTTAGAAGGCATGCAGAAGAGAAGGTTAATACAAGGTGCTGCTTGTGGCCTTTCTGCATGCACACACAATGACTGGACAACCATCATGGCAGATTTTATATTACTGAACTTTATGTACAAAAGCCTCTTTCAAATAAAACATTTAATGTAAAAACAATGTTTCATTTCAACAACTGAACTGGTTTTGCTTCTTGTTCTGGGGTTTTACTTTTACATCTCCTGTACCATTCCAATTCTTTTCAACCAGCTTACATGGCATCTTCAAACTCTTATCAAAGGTACATATAGAAAAGGCATCTTTATAAATAGAAAACAAAGGGACTTTTTCAGCTTTTATTATAAATTGACATGACATACAAAGTTTACTGGACAGAAGTAATTTCATTACTATTTTTGGGGGGATCACCAACTTTTTGTGCAAACAATGCTAGCCTTCTTTTAAGCATTAAGAGCATAACTGCTTAAGAAATGACATAAGCAATAATTCTAGAACTACATCTCCCCTAAAATAATCTATTTTTTTTTTTACATATGTGCACAGCTTTAGCAAATTAAAGCCAGAGAGAAATGCTCGATGGACGATCCAGAGGCGTACTTGGAGTTTGCTAAAACTCAAGAGAGCTGGCAAATTCAAGAAGGTTGTAATGAAAGCTGCAGTTTCCCTCTTTCTTATTTTGTACACAAAAATCAGTGACTAAGAACTTAATACTGGATGACAAATCACATCCACACCATTAGTTAAATAGTCTCACAGTTAAAACACATCTTAAGGACCATCAAAATCAGTATTTACATTTTATAAATTTATGAAGACACCATTAGAAAGCTTATTTACCCCTTCAACAACCAGGGAACTGCATCTCATGGTGATGGAATGAAATAAAAAATTAAAAATACCTGTATTTACAGCAGCATTGTTCCTTTATAAATAAAGAATATGAAAAATGCAATATTTTAAAGGATAATAAAAAATTGAGGTGATGTCACTCAACCACAGTGCTTGCTGGAATAAACCCTTCGGTGCTGATACTGTACCAGTAGTGAAACCACTTTCCATTGGAAAAAATCTGTAAACGTATGCATAAAATGTGTTAACAGCAGTGCAAAACTGCTCAAATATAGTTTAGTCAGCATCTTAGTATCTGTATTGAATACAATACATCACAGAATACTTACATAAGAAGTGCAACACATTTTCTGGTCCAATTTTACAGTGCATTTTTCCCTCAAGAGTGGCATCTTGAAAGCCAAAGCTAAACCTTATGGCCTGGACTTGCAGTCTGTGCTCAGGCAAACAGCAGGCATGAACTTCAGAGGAAGTTAATCCATGTAATGCCTACGTACTGATTATGGACTCTGGGCTTTAGCATGGCACACTATGATGTGGAACCCTGGTCAAAAGGGTTTTACACATCAAATCATTTGTGTAGCTGTGTAAATGTGTAATAAAAATATAAAGGAGCTAATGTTCAAGTTTAAAATGGTACACTGGGCGATCAATACATCAGAATTATCCACGAAAACCAAACTGCTGGTAACCTCAAAAAGCCAAGGTGGGACTTCACTGTGTCTGTAACAGGAAAAGCCAAGATCTCTCCAAACAGGCACAAGACAAAGGAAGTGCTAAAGTTCACCAACTTTGATAGTTTTAGTGTAAGGAAACATTACTTTGTTATTTATGACCAATTGATAAATGATTTCAAATACAAGGATCAAGGTTAAACTTTAAATAGTGAGACCTTGTTTTCACAAAAAGCTAAGTGGAGAATTTCTACAGAAGTAAAGCAGTACCTGTATCCCAATCCCCCTTCCCCGCTGTTCCACAACTTCATGGTAGGAAAAACAGCCAGATACAGATGCAAAAATCTTAATATAAAAACGGTTTTACATATATTTAAATTATGTAAATTCCATAAAGTTCTTAAGACACTAATTACTAAAATTACAAAAAGATTTTCATATTGCTCTTCATGCTCAAACTCTTAGAATATTGTCATTACATCACCAAAACCGATATACATGTAGTACTTGCATAATTAACTGAATAGAAACCCTGTTAAAACAATATCCTTGTTGAAATCATTTATTTCCATCCAGCAGTGCCTGTTTGGAATCTCTGTATTTCTGTGTGTAGTTCTTTATCAAGCTCATACACCCTAGAATGTCACTTCAATGCTTGTCCGTTGAATGGCAATTGACTTCTGACTTCAGAGCTTCTGTTTCTTGCTCTGTTTTGTGACACCTGAGATGCCATCCATTTCCGAAATCCTCTCTCTCAGATTATTTTCACTATATCCATTTGTCGTCCCACTTTGTTCCTCAGAAGATTCCTCATCCGCTGGGGAGGCCGATTCTCCTTTCTCCAACTTCTGCTGCATCTCTCGGAGCCTGGCAACAGCTTTGTCTATGGACATGATGCTGATGAGGTTAAAGTCATGCATGCTGACCAGATGGAGCATAAAGTTTCGACACAAGTTCTTCTTAATTATTTTCTGTCCGTAGTTTTCCACAAACAGCATACAGGCATGATTCATTTGATTGTCAGCAATAAACCTGCCAGACCAGAAAGCCAGTGTTACGCAAGTAGAGCGCTTTCAGACACGAAAAGATGCCCTATGACATTGTTTATCAATATAACTACACTGACCCTCTATTTCAGTCTCAACATCTACAGTGTTTTTTCTCTCCACAGGCACAGGGCTATGGGGTACAAGAACAATTAAGAACTACAAACACTGTAATCTTGTTACTAAATTATCCTTTACTGACCTTTTCCTAAACAACTGAACTGAATTTTAAGTACTTAGTGAACTGCAGTGCAAAATGGTCAACCAATTCTATATAATTTATCTGTATCAAAACTAAGCACAGTAACATACCCGTGCTTCATAACATGAAGATTCCATAGTTTCATCACTTCTTTCTCGCCTTCGTTAACATCAGAAAATTCTTCAATTTGCTGGAGAAAGGACAAAAGACACAAACACACCCATCAGAACTGCATGTCTGCTGACAAGGAGCCAAGGCACACCTAAAATTCAACTTCTGCCACCTATACATCAGAATGTACACTTATTTACTTCCATAATCTATGCACACCCCACTGTGCGCTCCTGTGATACCAGCATCTCCTCTGTGAAGGAGAAAACCAGCCAAGACAATGAGAACTCGTTGGGGCAGGTGACTGAGCTGGCTTTGCAACTACAGGCATACTTGAAAATACCAAGAATTTCTATCATCAGTGGCTCAGCATCACAAGATTCTCTTAAAGCTCATTTTCATAATACATCCCTGCTTGTTCCCTACAACAACTGCAGACCAGCTTTTAAAAACCACAATCCATTTAAAGTAATTAGGTATAAATGGAATAAT